GATTATACCTCTCCATCCATTCCCAATCATGAGTGTTCATTGTTCAGAAATTGTGCAAGTAGGTAAGCGAACAACAAAATAAAAAGGTTGATTGTTCCTGAATAACTCATCTCCTCTGGTTATACATAAAGTGAAAAGAATATATTACATATTATATGACTTCTTATGCGAGTCTCATTGGGTTTTAGGAGAAGACTTTGTCTGCTGTGGCAGTAGTGTCTTTGCTTGTTTGTTGCTTTTTCTTTTTTCTCACAGTTTTTACGTTTTCTTTGATTACTTTATTTCAGTATTTTTATTTTCTCCTCAATTTATGGCAACAATAAGTAGGCGCCCTTGCACAAATCATTAAAACCTGGTGTCATAGCCCGTGTTGAGCCAGTAAGTTTAAATCTGGAAATGATCAAATGCATATCTGACATGCAACACTTCTCCAAGTTCAAAATCAAAATCCTATCAATGTTATGTATGATATTGTGTGTGACACATTGACAAGTGAATAAATAAAGTTCCCTGAGTGCTGAACAGTCAAATTAAGAAATGACAACATGCATACATATCTAGTGAAAATTATGCCAGTGGGGTCTGAGATATCACGTCTGACACAAAGACTCAGTGGTACTGCTAGGCTTGGACCAATTAGTGTAATTTTGAAAAAGCGAACGTGAGGTCGTAAGAAGACAGATGTATGAAGAAAATGCAAACACTCTGAAGTTCAAACATTCATCATCTATGACTTTCCGTGTTTGTCATAAGAGGACCTTGTTTTCTTCAGTGCGGTGATCTTTCTGCAACAGGAAACACAACCACTTTTGGACGATGGGGGACATAAAAGTTGGATGAAAATCAGTTCCAGCTTTGAAAAAATCCAGATATGTTTGCTGATAATGTGTAGAACAGCCAACCTACTCAACAGGGAAGATTGAAATAAGTGGAAAAAAATATCAGGAACACAGCGGCATCGGCTCAAGCATCATCATCCTCATGTAATGGAACATCTTCTAAAGTCGCCAAGGAGGGATCTGGGATCATAAGAGTCATTCTGTGGGTTGATGAGTGTGTGCGACGTAGTGGCTTATGCTTTCCCTCACACTGTTCTTGTGCTTACAAGAGATCTCGGTCAAAAGCTATAGAAAACAGATTCAGGAGCACAGACAGCGCAATAATATGAGTGAGGCAGATGATATCAGCCTGGATTCTATTTTATTATGCTGCTCAGGATCTTGTATACCCATTTATTTTATGATCAATTATGCATCTAGTTAAACTCTACTGTTTTATTTTGTATTTGTATTTAGTGATTCTATTGTTCTGTTTTATCTCCATCTAGTTTCATGTCTTTATGTTCAGTTCATTGAAATTCCCTGAATACAAAATACACTTAATTCAACTGCTTGGATCAGGTGTCAGTCCTTATGTTATGTGAGAGGAGTGAAATTGTGTTTGGGTTTGAATATAGATGGCACAGGAATCTTTTGCTGTTAATTATACTCAGATCTCTTCACTGGCTCCCTGTAGCATATAGGATCCACTTTAAAATCCTCACTCTCACTTACAGAGCACGACGCGGTCAGACTCCTGCATATGTGGCTGAACTACTTCGCACTTATTTACCCGCCCGCGCTCTCAGGTCAAACTGGTTAAATTTTCTGTCTGTCCCACGCGCTCGCCGACCCGTGGTGACCGAGCTTTTGATGTAGTAGCACCAACGCTTTGGAATGCTCTGCCTGCACCCTGTCGGTTTGCTGAGTCTGTGACTTTGTTTAAAAATCAGCTCAAGACGGTCTGTTTAGACTGACGTTTGGGTCAAATCCATGCTCTGGCCTGCTTGTTTTTATCGTGTATTTTCTGTTTGTTGTGCCTTCTTAAATAAGTTTCATGTTTTACAATCTATTCTTGTAAAGTAATGGCCCTTCTATGGTCACATTGTGTTATTTATGTTCTCTTCTTTGAAATACAGCTCCTGTTAAGCACTTTGTGACTTTTGTCTGAGAAAAGCGCTATTTAAATACATTTTACTTGCTTATACTTACTTACTTTTTTGTATTGCTGCATGTGGGTGGTAAGCTATAAGGTGGAGTTTTTGAGCTCAGGTCATTAAACTTTAGAGTATATTTTTATCACTTTGTCATGTTCTTTTTCTATTTCTGTCTTCATTGGGTCAACTTGGGTGATCCTGGCAACATGCACTGCATTCTTCTATATCTACAAAATATCAAGCTTTGTCAGAGCATGCAGAGCTGGGTGACTTAAGAATGCAAGAAAATTAGATGACATAACACTATGAGTAATGATAGAAATAAAGTTCATGTGAAATAACGGCACAGCAGTCAGTCAAATTATTTCACTGAGTCAAAGGAAGTTCAAGATATTAAATGTGGAGTTTGCTTTGAGCTTACTATTTTATTGCCGAAATCCCCATTTTATGAACTGTAGGACTGAATAAATGTCTTGTGATTCTCGTTAGGTGCTCTCCATGTGCAGGGACTCGTGTCCACGGGAGGACCTCGACGAGTTCAACACAGCAGGTCTTTTTTGACGTTTGCAGTGAAGCTCTGAAATTGCTATAATCACGCGCTTTGGATGCTGCATGCTCCACATGGTGAAGGGGAAAAAAATGACTAGTGCCTCTACTCATGCTGCGCAGAGCAATTTCATTCTGCTCAATATTAATTTTTGAATCTCTTCATACGCCACACAACGATAAAAGTCTCTTTAAAAGTATGACGTTTTGATATTATCAATTGTATTGTGACTGCCAGTGTGGCTGCCTCTCTTGAGGACAGTCAACAGCAACATTTTGAGTTGTAACTGAACCATTCAGTTATGTTATGTCTCATTGCAAGACCAGCCAAGCTAGAGTGACTTTCCTGAGCAATATCCCCATGACTGGCGAGAGATCTGCTGCTGGGTTTTGGTTTAATAGTGTCAATACGCAATAAGACGCCCTTGATGTACGTATCTGCCGAGATGAAACACCTCATCATTCGCTGTGGCATGGAATATGTACTTCAGGTCACCAACAAGTATTTCATTGAAGAGGTACCTGTCATCCACATCCTGTCAGTTTCCACAGGTTCAGCAACTGTGCCCTGCTCACTGCTGAGAATAAAAGCGGCACTAGACTGAGACATTTAATTTGAGGGGTGATTCATTGTATTAATTATTCATGAAATTCACTACGCATGATACACTCTGTGTAAATAAGACGAATTAAAGTTCTATTCCATAATTGTCTGCAGAGCCAGTCTGCCAGGAAACGTGCGCCATCATCCATTTTTCTTTCAATCAGGAGAGACAAGTCAGATGAAGAAAAGATAATTGTTTATTGTTGATGATATGTGATGATAAAGTCTTGACAGAGTCTTTGGCGCTTGGACTCTACAGGGAGATTTGTATTCGAGGTGTGTCTGCCGGGGACGGAGAGGTGAAGGGGTGCGTAACATGCAACATGAACGTACTGAAGAGACAATCATACTTAAAAGAGACAGCAGGAAGATGATAGGCTAATGATGTTATGATTGACAGCCCCGAGCAATGACAACAATGACATTATGAGCGAGCATGCGTGAGAAGGGAATGACAGATGTACGAGAATTAAGCTACGGGCTTAGGCATGCGTGTAGAATGCGGAGCAAACACAAATGGTTCACATCTGTTGTATTGAAATGCTGATTTTCACACCAATCTGCATTATCCAGGTTACCACCATCTGCAGGAAACTTTTCTAGTTTAAGAAGCATTTAAGTTATTATGTGCCACAACAGAGTCACACAGGAGATTAACTGATGAATGCTAAAAACATGAAATATCTTGATTTGGTTATGTCTTTATACAAATTCTGAACAATGACACTTGATTGAAACAAGCCTCTGAACACTTTGATCTTACAAATGAATAGTGACTTCTTTGGCAGTGAACACCAATGAAGAGATAAGCCTGATAGTTACAAGGAATGTTGAATTCAACTAAATCCCCAATTAAACAAATAGAGACAGTGGTTTGATACGGAATCCTGTTACTCTATGACATTTCACTTCCATGTAATAGCTTTTCTAAAACTCTTTGATAGTAAGAGAACAAACCAATTATCCTCCACAAGGCGTGCAGCTGTTGGCCTGATCTCAACTCTGACTGCTGGTGTTGCAGGATGGATTGTTGACGTTTAACCAGTGATTCTCAAATCTAAAAAAGCTGAGTTTAGAAAATCAAAGATAATAGCTGTTTTCACTGGTATCACACACAGCGGTGGAGTGCTGAATGGAAAATGACAAAACTGCAAATCTCTGCAGTCAGCTGTAGCACCTTCTGTGTAAATGCCACATGTTGGGTTTTTATTGCAAACTGAGTCTGCAAGTTTTTGTCGATGGCAAAATAAATGTTAGCAGGGTTAGTGATAAGATCACTGTCAGGAAAAATATTGGAAATTCAGCTTTAAAAACTCCTTGAGGTGCTGAGGTTCAAAGTGAATTCATGACTTTGGAAACAGCAGTTGTGAAGTCACACTACAAGGTCCATTTAGCTGTTGTGTAACTTTTGATCATTTGACATTATCTTCATCAGCAGATGGAGTTTGCATGCAATTTTCTCATTTTCTCTGTTTGAGCCATTTCCAGCTGATGAGAAATGAACATGAGCTCAGTGGGAAGCCGTCATTGTTTGTTCATCACCCAATGCCTGGGAAAGGGCATCATTTTTATTCAACAAATAAACACTTAGCAAATATACATAACACATCTTCAATAACTTGCATACAAACAGACAAATGCTATTGATCTCTCTTTTTTTGCATATGAGAAACAAACTGAATAGTTTACTGTTCATTTTACAATATCACTGAATTTTAAATTTACTCATTAAAATATTAAGCATTTTTTTATCCATTTCTTGGTCACAAAAAGCAACACAATTTATAATATAACACCCTAATAGCATTAACACTAATGTAACAAATGGCATGATAGATCAAGAATATTTCATAGAGTTTTGTCTCCAGTGTGATTTTGTGCAACACAGTAAATACATAATTGATCTTGGACAAATCACGCAGTCAATAACACGACAGCAACATGCTGCTAAGATACATTAAATACATAGAACTGTATGCCATAACATTTATTTAAAAGGCCGTCATGGTCAATAATGATCATGTTTACAGCCTTCTATATTGCACACACAGATTTACAAATGACAATTTAGAACAGTCAATAAGCAATGATTAGCAGAGGACCTCGTTGCAAAAAACTCCAACATGTCATACAAATGTAAACATTAATACAAGTTTATAATCAACTGATAATCTTAAATCAAATAAACACATTTTGTTTTCTGTGGTTTCTTTGACACAGGAAATAATACAAGACATCTTGAAATCCACCCTGTAAAACCCAGATGTGTTTGTTTGTTGAGCATGCAACAGTGTGTGTGTGTGTGTGTGTGTGTGTGTGTGTGTGTGTGTGTGTCCCGTAGTGTGACTGGCTTTCAACCTGTGAATACAAGTTTTAGTTTAAAACCCACTGTTATCAAGAGTGATGCTCGACCAAATGGGTGCAAGGCATTTTCAGTCAATTTATGGTAACACCAAGCAGATTTGTCATCAGTTCGACCTGAATTGAACTTTCCCACACAAGTCTTTAAGCTTCATGGAAATCGGATCAGCAGCGTGCGAGACATTCTGTGTGATGTACAGGATCACCCTCAGCCTATCATGGTGATTATTGTGAATGCTGCATGCATCGCTCTGCAGCGTTTTGTCAGAATCTGATCAGTGACGTCCAAGATGCGGGATGAACAAACCAGGGCAGAGCTACAATACACCATCGATTACATCAGTGAAACAAAAATGAAAAGATTCGTCTGACAAAACATTGATTTTTTTGATCATCGAACTATAGCTGTCATCTCTGGAGAACGACTAAGCTCAACACTTATTAAGAGCAGAGATTCTTTCCATTGAAATTCTTTAAACCATTACATCTTGCTCACTGGCAGGATTGGTCTAGAACCACTCTTTGTGCTATTGTTTTCATTTCCCTCCTCTACGTCTGTATTGTTGACACTTGACGCAATCTGCTTACGAGTTGAAAGGTGAGTCATGTGTACAAGGCAAGTATTGTTTTCTAATTCAGGCCGTGTGTTCGATGTCTTACAGCATCTCTTAAGACCCTGGTGAAGACGAACGGTGAACAGACCATAAGTGATGGGGTCCAGACAGGCGTTGAAGAGGCCAAAGATAAACAGCATATGTGTCATTGAATGAGAGACTGTTTCCTCCATTTCTTCAGGATATAACCAATACCACAAGCCTAGCAGGTAGTACGGGGTCCAGCAGACGATGAATGACGTCACGATGACGATACTCATCTTAAGAGTCCTCATCCGAGCTTTTGGGATGTTGTTGTGGGAGCGGCGGAGATGAATATCTCTAGACCGCACTGGAAGAGAAGAGAACACCATCTTTGTCACGCACAACTCCTCGAGCCTCAGCGAATATATTTCAACTGCAGGTTTTGAAGAAAGTGTGAAACTTACAGTTACCCTGGGCCATGCGGCTGGATATCTCAATGAGAATTCGTGTGTAGCAGAAGATCATGATAACCAAAGGCAGGAGGAAGAGGCACACAAAGGTGAACATGTTGTAGAGGGTCTCCTGCCAGTGCTGGACAAAACTGCCGTGGGTGGTGCACTGGGTGAAGTTCTCCGGGACTGTGATGGTCACGTTGTGAAATATAAACATCTGCATTAAAGACAAGAAGAGTTTTGCTTAGTCACAAGTCTAAATAAGTCAGACAGACAGAATGGAGGATACGAGGAGAGAAGGGGCTTGGAACAACAACTATCTGGAAGTATTAAATCAGAAGCTGATTATTGATTGGTCAGATGATCTGATGGAACACAGGAAGCAGCAGTTCTGTAATATCATTATATTGCATGATTATCATACTGTAGATTTGGCAAACTACATGTGGAACAGGAATATAACCTCCATACGCTTCATAAAAATAAAATAAAAATGTATTAATAAATTCTAGATCACACTTTTTTTCATCTTGTATTTTGTTCTGTTCCAATTGCATCTTGGCTGATTCAGTAATAAATATCCTAACATTTCTTGTATACAGCTGCACAGTCAAGGTTGTGTATCCAGCCTGTGTGTGTATAGGACAGACATACCTTCAGACACAATTTAGAGATTTTGAGCATTTATAGCTGATTGTGTGCTGCCCCACTTCCAATCAGTCATGTCCATTATGGGCAAGGCAAGGCAAGTTTATTTGTACAGCACATTTCAACAACAAGGCAATTCAGAGTGCTTCACATAAAACCATTAACAGCATCAAAACATAAGGCAAAACATTCATTGAAACATTAAAAACAGTCATTAAGACACTAAAAGGCAGTGTAAGAAATAAAATACAGTGGTAAAATGCAGAAATGCAGGAAATTGATTAATATCCTTGAATGTGGTTCAATTAAAGGCAGCAGCAAACAGAAAAGTCTTCAATCTTGATTTAAAGGAGCTGAGGGTCTCAGCAGACCTGCAGCTTTCTGGGACTTTGTTCCAGATATGTGGAGCAGAAAAACTGAACGCTGCTTCTCCATGTTTAGTTCTGACTCTGGGAACAGAAAGTAGACCGGTCCCAGACGACCTAAGGGGTCGGGATGGTTCATAAGGTAGCAGCAGATCAGAGATGTATTTTGGCCCTAAACCATTCAGTGCTTTATAAACCAGCAGCAGGATTTTAAAGTCAATTCTTTGTTGGACAGGGAGCCAGTGCAAAGACCTCAGAACTGGAGTGATGTGATCCACTTTCTTGGTCTTAGTGAGGACTTATAAGTCCTCGGGCGCAGTTAATTGTTTTTTTTATGAAAGTCCTTTCATAAAAATCATAAGGAAAACAGAGTCTAATAGTGAATTGGATGATGAATATGTCCTTGACATTTTGAAACGTATAGACAGTCTATGTATAACGGACTGATGAAGGTGCTGACGTCAGAGAAAAAAGATCTATGCTTAATAACATATTTCATTGGACAAAAAAAGCCTTAAACTGTGTGCGTCTGAGACAAAAATTGATACATTTATCTTGTTGGAAAGATGATCCCTTGAGACATCCGGGCTCCTGAAACACTGTATTTACGGTGGCGTATGTACACCTCCAATCCTTTATTAAAGTACAGGCCAGTAATTGCAATTCTTGCGGATAGTTAAAGCAACCCCAGAGAAATAAACCCAGCAAGCCACTTAACCCCAAATTGCTCCCGTAGCTGTGGTACTGTGCAGAAATGTGATAGAATCTGAATTGTAAGTCGCTTTAGACAAAAGCATCTGCTAAATGACTGTAACGTCTTTGACCCAACTGTCTCTCACTCTTATTCAGGAGAAAATTATGGTGTTTGGCCCAAGTATGCGACAACTCACAGAACTCTATTTTTCATTCTAGAGAAGAAGACAAATACAAAATATGTCATGCTTAATCTGAAAATATCTTACACTGCAACTTTGATGAACTTTTGGAACAAGCTCATACTGTAGAATAAGTAGGTTTCTACATTCTTAACGCTACATAAAGGGGAAATAAAACAGGCAAAGTGTGTGTTACTGTAAGAGGTTAAAGAATATGTGTTTTTTCCAAGTATGTTCACTTTAAATGACCGACATATACCACGAGTCGTACCAAGAGTTGGGGTTGACCCCAACATAAATTATGTTCATATTGCTGGAGTTTGTATCTGGTGCTTTAGAGCTGCAGTAGATCTCACATGTTACAGCAGTTTCGTATGTGGCGAGTGAATAAACAGTGTCCAGTGTAACAATCCCAATATCTATCCCAATTACAACATTTAAGAACTAGTTCTCCCTCTGCCCACAGATATAATGTTTTACCCTACAGTGTTTTAGTGACCATGAGTAACAGGCACAGATATGTGAATACTGTAACAATAGTCCGAGATAGAAACCAGTTTGCTCATCATCGATTCAGAACAAATTAATAATTTGCAGACTATATCATAATATGTACTAAAATTATTAATGTAAAAGAAATTGAGGTAACACTTTATAATAACTACACACTATGAAGCATTAGTTAAGGATGAGTAAACACTTAATTCATCCTTTATAAAGCATTGCTCCTACATCAATCGATCTCTCACTCCTGGCACCTTAAATCTTCCGGAGGTTTCATGCCTCCTGTGATCAGATGACAGAGGATAAAACAGGCAGCTGATGGCGACAGAAATATTTACAACACATCACTTTCTACAATGTGACGCATACGTCAAAAGTGACGAGGGTGTAAGTAAGAAAAAATGCTCTCGGAACGCCAGAGTGGAGGCACTGCCTTGTCTTTTGGGTTAACAAGCATTCGAACCCAAAAGAATCCTTTCAGATTGAAGACAATGATAATATATGCACTGGTAGTTAAGTTACCTGTGAGTCAAACACACTGTCCGAAAAAATAATAAACGTGAGCCGCAGAGCAGCGGCTTAGAGGTACTCAGCAGCGTGTGTAGTTCCGTTAGCTGTTAGCTTTTAGCCAAACACACTATCCAAAACAATAAACGTGTACAACAGAGTAGCGACCTGGGGGTTGGATATAAGGGCCTGTTGAGGGCGGTGAGTGAGGAGCAAGCAGGTAGTCAATGGCCGTATAAGACAGGCAATAAAAGGTAAGAAAGTGTAAGTCACCGCAACCACGAGAGGTCCTTGAGCATGCAGCCATTACTGTCCACCAAAGACAAGATGCAGTTTGCTGCAGCCGAATGCTAGATTAGTGGACAACAAACATAGAGGTGCACACTCACTTATGGACACACAGACTCACACACAATCTCATTCCAGGCTTACATCTGCTGGAGATGCATTTCATCTTCACCCACTACATCTCTGTGTGAGCTTCTCCACAATCAAAAAGATCCTACAAGTGAGCACTTTCCCTTCTGATCAAAAAATATTTCACTTTATTTACAACCGAAGTGTGTGGAGCTACAGAACCCGATCGCGTTCAGTTTTCTCGTTTGTTTCAAGCGGCCTCTCTATGGCAGAATGATGTCTTGGAGATAATGTTCAATGCTTGAGGGTCTCCAGGTGTCACGTCACAGGGCGGTCCACTGAAGAAGCACTGTTTTATCAATGTTCATACAGACACAGGTGCATAGCTCGTAGTAGAGGTGGCTTATAGATAAAACTTCCCATTCATTTTATGTTTTATTCATAAAACTTAACTGTCTGATAAAGGAGAAAGCCACTTGTATAACAACCCTGGCTTTTTTATCCTGTACAACTATATATATATATATATATATACACTGTATATATATATATTTTTTTTTTTTTAATTTTTAGGATTACAGCCATATAACATTTGTAAATGGAGATTTGATCCAGTGACCTTTCGCGGTAGCGACAATGGCAGGTTTGTGGCGAGATAATGAGATATTCATTATATCCAATATTCAGCCTGGTGCTCCAGCAGCCTCAGTATTACATCTGGTGGTACTACAGATGATTAAATATCAGCTGGGCTTGGTATTTTACATGTGCTAGGAAGTGTCATCTCTCTCATCTTCCCGTTCTTCATCACAGTCCTGTCCAGAAATAATAACTGTAAGGCCTTGTGTTGAGGGCTGGTTGATACTGGTTATCTGCTACACCAGGGATGGAGTAACCACTTCATCAGCTGCTTAACTGGATAATGATGCACTCTGCTGCAAAACTGAGCCTGAATCAACTTTTTTTTTGTTTTTGCTGAGATATGTCTCTATATTATCAGTATTTGTTTTCTTGTGCTGTGTTTTTCAGGCCAGAGTCACGATGTCCATGTAATATTTGCTTTAGTTCGCTGTAACCATGATCCTCACCTAAAGCAACAAAGCATTCAAGTGCTTTCAAGATGGATACATTAAAAGCAGCAAGAATAGCAACCTCTGAAAATGCTGAAAAATACACAAATCATGTGCAGAGCTCTGTAAAAAAAAAAATTGAAATACATAGCAATATGTGGAAAATGGATTGCGACATGCACGTCTAGTTTATAAAATTTACTGCAGAGTTGGTGATAATTCTCTGTGAGTGTCTCGCTATGAGCGACACCTTTTACCTAAATATTAATTTGATATGGAAAATACTAATAATGGCCGCTTTAAACATATCTTAAGTATAGTTATTTTTCCATAACCACAATATTTCCTTCACATCAATCAGACTGGTTGCCAAGTAAACATGTGGGAAACAATTATTCTAAAAATGTCATTGAACATAAAATGTTTTTTTTTTTAAATATCCCTGTGCTGTCTGCAAATTCTAAAGACAATCTTGAAGCAAACAATAGGCAGCAGAGAAGCCAGATTTCAATCGGTACAGTACACCTTTTGTTTTTAAACTTAAATTACTGGAACTACGATGGCTATTGTTGCTGTAACTCAGCTGATAAAAGTGATGCATCATAAATTATTGAGGTCCAATTGTTCACATCATCCTTTTGCCAATAACGCAAAGGTTGTGAGTAGAAGTCTTCTCTGTGCATCCATCAAAGGCTGTGGGTTTCATTTTGATCTGATTGTAGTCTGATGACACACACTGCAGGTTTCGAGGGCTGTATTCCCATTTTGATTTTCAAAGACTCAAAAGTAAACAGCCAAAAGGTTTTAGAGATAACTCTTTGCCATCCGAAGTACCTTTGCAGAAGCTTTTAATCAGAGAGGGATTTCTCAGAGCTCCTTGGTTCTTGGAAGCTCCCTGTCGTGAGAGAGTGCAAGTGTAGGAAGTGCGTTATATCATGAAATATTGGCACTTATTAGAATACTCTTCAGCCAATCAGCCAATCACAGCGCGAGGCTTACAATGACTGTGGTGTAAACTTTGCATAATAAATCAGTCGTACAGTCAGTGAAGCAACAACTCGTGGATAGAGAGGACACTTGTTTAACCTTATATTTGCAGCCACCATCTCTGCTACTTCACTGAGAAAAGGCTTCAGATGCAACAAAGACTGGACTGTGTATTCTTTCCTGAATCTATAAAAAAAGGGATACTTGTACCAATTGTCTTCCCTGTCACATCTCCCAGGCTACTCATCTTTATATTCTCGGGAGCTAAATCCAGACTGTGTCAGATGAAGGTCAAAAAAAGTCTAAATCAGGCAACATCACATGTAGGTTAGCTGTAGTGTCATGACATCTGCAACATTACTTGTTACTGTTTCACAGTAATACTGATGCCAAACGTGATTCTGATGAAATTCTAATCTGACCCCGAGTTACAGATGGTTATTCACCAACACAAAGCTGTAGAAAAAAGGTTTAAGTAAATCTGTGGATGTGTCAGTTTGTTCTAACTTAGCGTTGCAAAGAAAGTGAGACACGTCTCAGACCACTCATTCAAAAATGGCCCCCGAGTCTTCAGAAATACCTGAGCCTTACATTTGCATTTCAATAAAAAGGGTGCAGGAATGCAATGAATAAGAATTAGAACAACAACATAGTCAAAAATCTACGAATAAAACAAGTATGTTTCAAGGGCATCGTGTTCCCATTTTTGGGCACATTTTCTCCTTATTTCCTATTTGTGAATGTAATGCCAACTGATTTGACTTCAAGACTGGATTGATAACTGTAATCTGGCTTTATTGTATACACAGCTCTCAGTTGGACCTTTCTTTTCACCTTTCATGTCAACACTTTTTTAGTCATCTCTCCCCAATTCTTATTTGACAAAAAGTCCTCTGACATGTTCTTACACACAGGTGAAAGAAAACGTCTCACAAACTATATTCTGAATGAGCGTGGCCGTAAACCATAAAAAAAACTCTGAAATAGTGAGTTATCAAATTAACACACAAACACACATATATACTGTATATATATTCTACTTTCTTCAACGGTGCTGCAGACTCTGTTTTCACTGCCGACACCTTATCGTATATACGTTATGTTGTATACAGTATATACGTACATACAATAACGTCTCACATTATAGTACTGCCATATTTTTAGGGAGGACAGTCTCACATTTAAAGATACCAACTGAAAACCCACTAAATGTAATTTATCTCTTTAAGAATTTAAAATCCCCCAAATTCAAAGAAAGAATAGATGACATGACCTCTGTGTCCATGTGAGAGGTTAAGTTGTCAGATGTTCACTTCTTTCGACCCAGTGTGGTCCAGTCGCACTAGATGAGGTTGAGGAAATAAAGGCGATCTCACACCTGAGGTACTTGATAAGCATACTTGCAACCCTGCAAGCCTGTTGAGTCAAGGATCCCTTCAAAACATGCTATACCTGATTAGATATCCACTTTTAATCACGCAGGCTGCTGCCTCATTTGTGTTCAGCAGGTAAAATCAATTCAAGTATGCTGTTGTGAATTTCTGACATGTTTGTTCAGCAGGAGCTTGTGCGTGAACATTTTCTGGAGCAAAATCATATCCATATTAATCTTAAGTATTGTGAAGCTTCACACACCTTAACAATAAAAACGTAATTTAATGAGCACGACACATGGAGAAAATGCACTTGTTTTGCTGTAAAAGATGCAATTCTTAATAGATTGAGTGAGCCATTTAATACAGTTACATACATAAGTGTTTATTTTTTTTGCCTTGATTACCTCAGTGTTGTTTCAAAATGTTTCCTGCAGACCTAACCAATTATGTAAATAAACTTCACCTCTCTTTTCAGCTAAATTAAACAAGATGGATTCACTAGAGGAAAGCACACTGGCAGAGTTCTGTGTGCTTTTTGAACAAGGTTTCATTGTCCTTCAAATAAAACTATGATGGGAGAGGTGTACAACCTGTCATGTGTCAAGAAGCCTCATGAGTATATATAGGGTTCATGGTGTTTGTGTGCAAGTACTGGATGAGTGGCAGAGCAAACTAAATGTGTTTTCTCCTACCTGAGGGAGCGAGAGGATTACACTCATCGTCCAGGCCACAGTCAACATGATCTTGCTTTTCCTTTTGGCCTCACTGATGCCCAGAGGATTGAGAATGGCAGACTGTCTATCCAAGCTAATGACCACAGTTACAAAAGCGCAGGAGTACATCGCCACCAGTTTCATGAACATCAGCAGCCTGCAGGCGACATCTCCCGCCTGCCACTGCACCGTGATGTTCCACACCGCGTCCACGGGCATCACGATGAAAGTCACCAGCAGGTCCGCCACGGTCAGGTTCATTATGAGGATCCTAACGTGCGACTTGCGCTTGCCGCCGTTGCCGGCAGCATACAGCACAACCAAGTTGCACACAGCTGAAACCGCGCACAGACTGAAGGTGATGATGACTCTGACTTTCGCCGCTGTGGAGAAAGTGGGCAGCTGGAGCGCGTCTCCATCAGCGCTCTTGTTGCAGGCTGAGGCGGCTCCCTGGCAGCTACCGTTCACTGTCTGATCCGTCAGCTGGTGGAACATAATTAACTGATGGGAGGCACAAATACAAGGCAATGATCTCGGATACTCCTAGGCGGTGTCTGTCTTCTCCATCTGCACCTCTAACTGGAACTTCAACAGTGTACCTGAGAGAAGAGAGCATTTATTGGTTCGGTTTTTAAGCTGGTGTATATGCCGCAAGGCGCCGGTGCTGTTTTTTTGGTGGCACCGGTAACATGGCTATACATCGTTTAAACCGCTCTGTAAGGCACGTGCCGCTTTACGCACAACAAAAGACCACTACGTTGTTTAGCTTATATGATATTCAGAAGCATGCAACGTGATCACACAAACTGTATATATAAAGAATAGGAGTTATCAGAAAAATACATAACTAAACATGCTCAGGTGAGGAAATAAAGACGCCAGTTTACTCAAGTGCTATTTGCTGAACTTTTAACTCTCCTCTTCTGATTTTCTAACGGTTACACATCTATCGCTTCCTCTTAGGTCTACTTGCCTATTTACTCTCCCGAAGAGAGAGAAAAAGAGAAAGGAGGAAATCTGAATTAAGCCAATTTTTGAGGCAGATACAAACAGCTTACCTGCAATTAGGACGAGCGGAGCTGAGAGTGAGCGCTGGGGGCGGGGGGGGATCTCACTGTGTTTCTACTGCAGTCACTGCAGCTGTTGCTTCAAGCTCCTTCATTCTTCCGCTCTGACGCACATTTTGACCAGGCAACAGATGAGGGAAGTGTTAGGAGTAACTGCGAGTTAAGCATTAGTAACTCCTAATCAAATAGTATAGAGTAGTCAATGATTGATTCATTGAGAATGGAATGAGGTACGAATCAGGAACGACTTGATCATTGACGAATCATCATTAATAATAATAATAATAATAATAATAATAATAAGTTCCCTAATAATTATACGGAGGACAAGTGGATTTATGAGTTACTAATTGGCTTGGAGATTCTATATGTTCCAATCAATGAATATTATGAAGTTGAACATCATTCCAGCACAACACATGTCACTTTAGATCCAACTGTTGACTTCATCACATTAGCAGATGTAGCTACATGTTGGTTAGCCAGAGCATGTTTTTTGTTAGCAGAAATGCTAATGCTAAATGCACCCCCTCGGTGTTTTCCTATGTTGTTGCATTAGTACAAGTAAAATGGATTTTTACTTGGATTTTATGTGATGGAACTACACAAAATTGGTGAAGTGGAAAAAAATGTGGTTCTTTGCTCTCGCCTCTCTGATCGAGAGAAGAAATACTTAGATTGCACGCAGGTGGACTTTATATGACTAATTATGTGACTTCATAAGGTAATTGGTAGCATCCGATCTTATTTAGGGCCTTTATAGCAAAGAGGGAGAATACACATGAAGTACCATCAATTTTTTTGAATTTGTTTTTTCATTTTGCTTCATCAATTTTGACTATTTTGTGTGGGTTCATTATATACAATCCAAATAAAATTCTGCTTTAATTCCAGGTAGTAATGCAACAAAATAAGAAAAACAGCAATGGGGGTGAATATACTTGCAAGGTATGGTCTGTGTCCACTTCACTCCCAGTGTTGAGGTTTAACAAGTGATTAAATAATTAGCACAAGCTTGTTCAAAATTACTTAAAAATAAGAGCAACATATTGTTGGTTCTATTTTGGTGTTTTATTTAATCTTAGCAGTGTTCCCAGAGATAAGACTTATTTTCAGAATCCCAACTTCTTTGCAGATTCAACATTTTTGTCCCCAGATTGTGAGAATTTTTTTGCAAATAGAAATGTCAAATCTAACTGAATTAAACTTTAAAAATATGAGCCCAGTGTTAAAACGGGATGAAGTATTGTCAAAGCCTCTAACACCTAATGCATGATAATGTATTCTTTCTGATCATACCCTGTGCACAAGTGCGCCCCTGATGTGCCCGGCCGTGCACAAGTGCATTTGGCTTGTGACTGGAGGGAGCTCTGCTCTCTCACTGGAGAAAACATAATTTGCTTGGAACAGCCTCTAGGAGCCTATTGTGTTCCATCGCTTAAATCATTTAATGACAACACTGGGTTAATAAAATAAGGCTGTTTTCTTAATACATTATGAGTAAACTCAATGCATGTTACATTAAAACGCCTGCAAACATCCATAAAGAGAGTAGGGGATCCACAGCCAGACAACACACACACACACTAACATATTAAAGGAAGAGAAACATTTGCTTTTGAAAGTTGACACAGTGACAGATCTCTGGTCAGGTAGTTTTTTTTCCAGAGAACACAACCAAAGTAATTAAGAATGTAGAAATAGGAAAGAAAGACACAAATTGTGAATTAGGTGCACTGAACACTTAATAACTATCCACTCCAGGATCATGAGGGTTGTCTGATGCACTATTGTAAGACTGAAATAACTATAATATTAATAAGGATATTCACCAACATCAGTTTAAAACAATATGGCATTAAAAATCTATCTGATCCAAAAATATGCTATTTTCTTGTGGAGGAGTCCAGTTTCAAAATCTAGATATGCATATTCCTAACTTCAAAGTAACTACAATCATAATTTTTCATAATGCAATGGATTAAATGTTAAAAGTGCTGCTCGTAGTGATGAACCCACATGGAATTGCAGCAGAACTCTGCAGCAACGCTCGTCTTTACAGAGCGTTTTGGCCTTTTTTAGCTCACTGTTTTGGTCGTCCAATTTTACTGATTTCATGCACTCTCATAGTTGCTATGGTTTGGAGTGCAGGTAGCAGGAGAAGGACCCAGATGCAGATACAGAAGCTGTCTTACTGGTGCAGTTAAACTCATTTTCAAACAAAAGGCTTACAAACTGAGAGTCTAATATGCACACAGATAACAAGCAAACAAAAGTCCATGCAGCAATGAAGATTGACTGCCAAAGACCAAAGCAACTGGGCTGGTATATGAAGTCAATGACTGATTGGGGACGTGAGAACAGGTGATCAGGAGGTCTGGTGAGTGCAGTGCTAACGAGGGACAGCTGAAATGAATCTGTGCCCGAGGTGAAGTGATCTGCAACGAGAGGAGAGGTGAGTAACAAAATAAAACAGGAAATGAATGCATGACAAGAAATAAATAAGACATTACATTAGAGTAGATGACAAAAGTGTTTTTTTTGACGACAACAGGCAGAGGTTTTCAGTAACAAAGCTCTGAAAGACCTCGGTTCACTACCTGCTCAGCACCAAACAGCAGACCGTCAAAGTTAGTGGCGACCTGTAGCTGAACATGGTGAAGCAGAAATGCTAAGAAGACAGATATTTCCCTCAGGAGTACCACTGAGCTACAGAAGATAGTGAATATATTCATCAAGGGGACAACATGACTCCAAATAAATGAAACATTTTGTTCTGCATCTGGTGGATGTGTGAAAAATCTTAATTTTAAAAGATGATAAGGTCAATGTTGGGTTAACAGTTTGTTTTTGCTCCCCCAAGTGGTAAAGAAAATCCATTATTGCAGGTTTAACAAAATTACCACAAACAGAGGTTCATTTGGACCCTTTGTTGTCCCATGAATGGTTCCACTGCATGAGACCAAACTCTTGTGTAAGTTAAGGACTTGAATTTTGTTCTTGATTTGATCCACATCATTTATTTGGATGACCTAATCATGTTTAATGATACAGTGACAGCTCATCATTGCAATATGATTCTTTTGAAAGTTGATGAATGATAACATTAAATTATTAGACAAATGCAGCGTCCCTTAAGAAGAAAGGTCCATGTCTGCTCATCCTTTGACGTATTTAGTAACGGCCATGAATCAAGAGCCACCACAGCAGCGTCAATGTGTGTCATATGATGTATACACTGCAAACACCCACATAGCAACTCACATGTAGAATGACAAATTGAGCAAACAAGCTTTATACGCCTTGTAAAAACAAAAAACAAAAAAAGTCCAATCATTGAATATCATAAGTGGTACATTTGTCTGAAATCCTTTGATCTCGTCTTTCATATCTCAAGGTTATGAGATGGAGTAGTCAGCGATGGACCGGCAGATGATTCATTTTTATTGATCCACAGCTGCAATAGCAAAGAAATGGAAAGCCGTCCTCAATCATTTTATTTTACAGGATTACTATTTTGTGGGAAAAACACCAAATTTGCCACTGTTATGCAATCGTTGATGCAGGTAATCCGTTTAATCAGATTAAAGTGGCTTAATTGGTTGTTGACATTTCCCTGGATTTAGTTTGTTGGTGAATTGACCCCTCTCTCAAAGCGATACATTCATCTTGGACAGCTTCTTGCATTCACACAAAGAGGGACAGAAAGATGGGCTGACGGAGGACAGTCGATGAGACTGGAGGAAGAGAAATTATCCATCATTTCATGCATTTTCCATTTTTCACTCTCAATGAGCCAGTTCTTATACCTATAGGCTAACGTGACAAGCCCCTTTTCAGCACTGCATGTAGTGTTGCAAGTAAACACACAGCTGCTGATTCGCTTAAGTGCACCTATTTCTGTCGCTTCAGCCGCATACAACGACCGTATAGACCTCATCAAGCCGACCCCCGTTGTCATTCCCAACTCATCAATGCTGTTTGGTCAGTAACCTAATGAAAATACGAAGCACAGATGCTCCCTTTAGAAGCTATATGCCGCGTATTCTCTAATGTAAACCCTCCCGTGGTATCAGTGGTGCGTGATCATTTGCAAAGGGCGTGCAGGAGGGGTGATGGATGAAGGTAGTTTTTCTCAGTAGTTTTTCAACACTCCAGTTCCCCTTCTCTGAGGGTCCATACTGTAAAGGCCACATATTATCATGAACCTGAAGTTCATGATATTGTGTTTGCAGCCTTATTAACAGAGAGGTTAAATGGAAGAATTATTCCACTTCACCAGGGTCAGCATGGTTATCATGATCACTTCAAACTGAAATATTTTCCAGTAAGAGTTTGTTTCTCAGCTGAAGTCTTTGACGCGACATTATCAGGTTTCCTGTGTTTACATTGTGACACCTGTGCTCCTCTGTCCTCCCAGTGTTCAAAGGCATTCATGCCATGGAATGTTTCCTCATACAACGGTTCATAAGATATCTTACAAAAAAGTTACTCCTCATTTTTCGTGCATTTCACTATGAAAGTCCAGCAATACGTGTTGATGTTTGTGCGTTACAATCATATGGTCTTCACAAAATAAACTTCCTTATTCACATGAAACACAGGTTTAGGAAAATATTGTGAAATACTTGGTTAGGTTAAGGCAACAAAACTACTTAGGTTTACAGGAAAAGATCGTGGTTTTGGGTTAAAATAGTAAGTGGCGTCACATTACGTGAGAAGTGAAATCACACATGGCATTCAGAACAGCATCAAAGACTCTTTCAACCCTGTCGTACAAGTCGTTGACTGTGATGTGAGACACTGAACCACCTCTCTTACATTTGTTTGTCAGTATGCCATCATTATCGTCCCGGAATCTAAAGCCATCTTAATGATGCCCAAGCGCAGTTTGCACCCTGGGGTGCAACAGCTCCTATATAACATATTCATTGGGTGTTGCACAACCAGGCAGAATAATCATGTAACCAGATGACTCCCATGAAATGCCTGCCCACACTGTTATGGATTCCTCACATTATTTGA